CTGGTTTATTACAATGTTCATTTCAATGTAAGGTCACATAGAAATATATCAATTCTTTTTAAAGTTTACACATTCCCTCTCTCAACCCGACAGACACACGGGTGGGGCCCGTGCAGAACGTGATGTCTTTCTACGGGATTGTGGGTCTCTTTATTAGTTCACAGGTCCATGCCAGGATAGACACGCGGGTGGGGCCCGCGCAGATTTTTTTTTTACTTGTGGAGCCCCCACACAGTGAAGGGCCTGTAGGAACAGTGCCATGTACGCATGGCATTTTCCTTTTTTTTTCCCCCAATACCTTAATTGCAGACTCTTCATTCTAAGATGGGGATGACGAACCAAGCAGAGGAAAATGGAGGTATAAAGGAAAAACTTCCATTTACCTTATTCGGGTCAGGGTTGGGGATGGGGCGGTAACTTGCCCCGTGGGTACTGGTGTCCCGCCCCGTTTAATTTTTTTTTTCAGTTTTTTTTAAGTGAGAAATTCTACGAAATTTCATTAGTTCTAATAAAAAAATGAAACTAAGATTATCTAAAATAATCAATTGCCTGCTTACAATCTTAAGCAAATACATGAAAGGAAGAAAGTTTTTGCAAATATCACCTTAGAATTATAAACTGCATGCAGAGCAATCAACAAATCAGCCTAATACAACAATGAAGAAAAGCAATAAAAAGCCACCACAGTTAAATTTCTCACCTCCCAGGTCCAAGTCACAAGTCAACACAATATGTCAGTTGCCTCCTCTTTTCATCAGCTGCTTATAATCTCTACCTAAATTGATCAGAAACAATTTGATGCAGATTATTTATATTGATCTGATTTCCCTAACCTAATTTGTTGAGTTACAGTCCATAATTCTCCCACATGTTATGATCATCCCCCATAAAGTACCTAAAGCAGCCATCATTCATTGCATTTCCTTTGTTGCTATTAGAAGGTGAAGTCTCAGGCCCTAGTCCACTGGTATTATCACAAAAGGCTCCTCCGTGATTATTGCTTATAGACTCATTATTCTGACAGTAATATAAACAGGGCTTTGGGTTCTCCTTTCTTTTCTTGATGCACTTGATTACATAATTATTGACGCTATCCCACTTTTCTTTGCAGACTAAAGCACTCCTGTCATATCCAAAATAGGAAGAAGGTGACCAAAATGCAAAAATTGAAATAAGACATAATTGGGCAACCGCCCAGCTATAATCGCCTGGCTTGAAGTTTCAAAAGCATGGACGAATTAATGTGCCTGGGCGATTGCCTGTTTTTCTACTGGGCGACCGCCCAGACCAATCGCTACAAGGGTCCATTTTTCATTACGAATTCTTCTCCAGCGAGGACTCTTCTTCTTGGGCCGATTCCTAGACGTTTTTGAAGACTACTTGGAGACTTTTGAGCATATAAATAGAACATATTAACTCTAAATAAATGTGGGACAATTGATTACAAAAAGAGGTGATGAATACAAGATCAAATTCAAGAAATCATAGATCAAATTCAAGAATTCCGAGTGATGAACTATTTTTTTTCTTTTGTTTTTTATCTACAGATGTTAGACTAAAGTAATCTAATGCTAAAATTACGATGAATCTTGTATCATGAACATTTAACTCTTTCATATTTTTCACGCCTCTTTCATTCACAACTCCATCAAATTTCACGCTCGCCTCTACCTATCAACTCTGCTCAAGGGGCGGATTTAGCCCCCCACAAAAAAATTAAAAATTGGTTTTTTGTCCTCAGTTTTTTAAAAAAAAATAAAATTCAGAAGAGTCCCCATATTTTTAAATTTTGCACCCTCAAATTAAAATTTTACAAAATTTGCCCCAACGATTATTTTCTTCTGGCTCCGCCCCTGCCTACTAACCCCCCACTGCTAACCAATAAAATGCATGTGCGTGTGATAATAAATATAACTTGTGTGGACTTGTCATGTTTAATTAGTTGAATATAACTTGAGTCTATTAAATTATTAATACATATATATAGATCTGAATATCAAACATGAAATAATGGAAATTTATCTTTTATCATTTATGATCTTGGTCAAAGATGAATGAAAAAACGAAGAAAATACTTTCGACAAATATGAAAAAATGGATTTTATCTAAAAAGTCGGGTGATTTTGATTTTTACGAGAGAGTATCATTCTTTTTGGGAGTGTGAACATGACTTCTAAAACACTAGACAGAATAAAAAGGAAATAAAACTGATGATTTAATCTGTTATTATGATTAAATGTACTCAATGACTCTCCCATCCTTTTCCTTGGGTTCTTGCAGCAAAGTTCATGGTCGTGTCTTAATAACTCCATCACCTCATCATCCAGTAAATTTGACACACAGCTTTTCCTTGGAATGTCCTGTGAAGATGGATTCACAAAAAGTTCTTTTAACTTCCCAATGGCCTCAGAGAAATCATTTCTTCCCTTAAAAGAGGATGAATTAGTTGGATTAGGATGAATTAGTTGGATTTTTGCCAATTGAAATACCTTTGGTGACACAAGTTCTCGCTTTGCTCACATCATCTTTCTTTGTTGCATGCAGCACAAAACGATTTCTTAGTGACTTTAGAAAAAAGGAAAATCCAGGGCCAACCCCTATAGCCTACAACTCCTACAGGTGTAATCTCGGGAAAAAAAAATCTTACCATTGTAAATTTTGCATTGCCTTTGGTGACACGAGTACTGGCTCCTATCAAATTATCTTTCATTGTTTCCTGCAGCACACGAGGATAAAAATTATTCTTGAAGGAAGATTTTGTTGGATAATTGCCTCAAAG